GTTCTATGTGGAAATACCAAACTCTGTGATAAAAAATATTTCCTGTCAAAATGGGAAAACAAACATCTTCCATCTTTGTCTCAAGACCTGTGTTCATTGACACCAGGGACAGGATTGTCTGGCATGGGAGCTCCGGTGGGCAGGGCTGTGGGGTGAGGGAATCTCCGGTGGGCAGGGCTGTGGGGTGGAGGGATCTCCGGTGGGCAGGGCTGTGGGGTGAGGGAATCTCCAGTGGGCAGGGCTGTGGGGTGGAGGGAATCTCCAGTGGAGAGGGCTGTGGGGTGGAGGGATCTCCAGTGGAGAGGGCTGTGGGGTGGAGGGATCTCCAGTGGGCAGGGCTGTGGGGTGAGGGAATCTCCGGTGGGCAGGGCTGTGGGGTGGAGGGATCTCCGGTGGGCAGGGCTGTGGGGTGGAGGGATCTCCGGTGGGCAGGGCTGTGGGGTGGAGGGAATCTCCGGTGGGCAGGGCTGTGGGGTGAGGGATCTCCGGTGGGCAGGGCTGTGGGGTGAGGGAATCTCCAGTGGGCAGGGCTGTGGGGTGAGGGAATCTCCAGTGGGCAGGGCTGTGGGGTGGACAGGGCTGTGGGGTGAGGGAATCTCCGGTGGGCAGGGCTGTGGGGTGAGGGAATCTCCAGTGGAGAGGGCTGTGGGGTGAGGGAATCTCCGGTGGGCAGGGCTGTGGGGTGAGGGAATCTCCGGTGGGCAGGGCTGTGGGGTGAGGGAATCTCCGGTGGGCAGGGCTGTGGGATTGAAGGTGTGTGCCTCTGGGGCCTCTCACAGGGCCTGCCATGCCGTTTCAACAAGTCCTGACATGCTGAGGCAGCTCTTAGAGTTGGTGGAAAGCCGGGAAACCGAGAGAGCCTTCTGAGAAGTTTGAAAGAGCGTGGGGAGAGGAGGTGGTGAGTGGAGTTTGCAACTTGAGCAAGGAAGGGCTTTTAAAGTGGGAAGCAGCGGGCTTGTCCTTAGGACCATGGAGGGAGCACCATCAGGGCCCAGGGAGTGGGGAAAGCAGTGATGCACTTTCCCTCCCACTCTGACAAAATCAGCTTTGAGGGGAGAAGGTTTTATTTGGACTTTCACTTTCAGGTCACGGGCCATCACTGAAGGAAGTCAGGGCAGGAACTTGAAGCAGAAACCATGGAGGACGCTGCTTGCTGGCTCGCTACAGCTCGTTCTTAGCCCGCGTTCTTACATAGACCAGGGCCGCCTGACTATGGATGGTGCTTCCCACAGTGGGGTGAAGCCTCCCATTTCAATCATCAAAACAACTCCCCAAAGACAAGCTCGCAGGCGAGTGTGATCTAGACAGTTCCTCAACTGAGGCTTCTCTCCGGTGACTTTAGGCCGTGTCCAGTTGAGAGCTGAGGTTACCCAGGAAAAACAGGAGGGAACAAATGATGAATAAGAACAAAACCCTGCAGTGAGAGCACAGGTGGACGGCTGGACCTTGACTAGGGGAAGCCTTCTGTGATCCTCTGAGGATGGAGGGCACTGAGGACGTGCTGATCACGGAGCAGAGTCAGTATAGAAACCTTCCATCCACCTTGCCACTGAGCAATTCAGAGGAAACTTCACAACTAAACCGTAACGCACTCTCTCAAAGGAAATTGCCTACACAGAAGAAAATTCTCAGCCATGACCTTGGGCAGATTTATTTCTATAAATGTGTCACATGACTACATTTATATTCAGCTTAAAGCGTCTGACACATTGTGACTGCTATACACTGTTCCTCCAATTTAAGACTGACACAGTCTTCCTGGTCATGTGACAGGTGGGAGGATGGGGAAGAGCTGAGGGGTCCTGTCAGGTGTGTGTGT